TCATGTAATTAGTTAGCCACGTGGTTATTCCTGGCTGTCTTTTTAATCGGAAGGAATGTGGTTAGCTCGGCCATTTTTCTCCCGTGTCAAAATAAAGTATCACTTTGTGGGAAAGTCAGCGGCGGTTGTTGTACGACGGCAGACTCACCCCTACCATAGGAATACGGAATTTTAACCATTGGCTCAGTCAGGAGATTGACAATGTCCCCACACCCAGTTTGCCTCCAAAGAGCCCCTGTAAATGCGCAAAAATACGTATTTCTTGTGTTATTTACAGCATTAAAACACATTCCACCTTGTAGACAGACCCAGATTCGGATGGGGGGGGGGGGATTGCAGTCTTTGGTGTTATACCTTTTTGTAATGCAAGTTGTGTTGTACCGTACAATATAGGAACATTGAACCCAAACAAGCCCTGGTGAGCCCTCACTATCGCTGTGAAAAATCGAATACCCCGATCGTCACCTCCCCCTCCCGCCCTGTGCTGGGTCGCCTTGTGAAGCCCCGGCTATTCTCACCCCCACCCCCCGAGGTCAACGCCCTCTGACCTTAATTAAAAGCTCAACACTTTAGTCAGTAACATTGCCCTCAACATTACAAATATGTCATCGACAATGTTTCAGGCAAATGGCCCTTCATCTCTGCTATGAAGAAGTATACCCAGAACGTTGCCCTTACATATTGTGTGTTTTTTTGGTCGATGGCTCTCGTTCATAGCAGACGGATGAAGTAGCACCATTTAAAAAAAACGTTGCCCATCACATGTTCCCTTTAGGGCAGGATTGTTGACAAACGTGTTGTTTTTGGTTCATTTTGCTTGTGCACCGCTGCCAATGCAGTGTCGCAAATACATTTTTGACCATAACCGGCACTGCGCGTATCTTGCCCCCCGAGCCCGACGTGCCCGGTGCAACCGGCGTTAACCAGATACGCCGCGAAGGTGAAATGTCGATGACCGCCCCCGTGCGCTCGGTAACGCTTAATGGCTCTCTGAAGTCCTCCCAAAGCCCTCCAACAGCCCTCCCACCCCCTTTCCTGTCGGTAGCGCGGCGTAAGCGCAATTACCAAGCGATGCAGATGTTCTCGCGCGGCCTGCCGCGTTGCCGTCTCGGCCGAGTTTTAATTATCGCGGTAATAACGGCACGCGGCCGTACACTTGTTTACCGAGATGGTGCCGTGGTGCAAAAGGATGCTTGTTTGTGCGCGTGATGCCTGACGCGGTCCGCGCCATGGTGGTGCATGCAGGCGCGATGCTAATCAAACATGGGTCCAACAGCATTGCAACCCTAACATTTTAAATAAACCACGATCCCAACCCAGTCAACTTTGTACTTGATAACGAGGACGTTTTTGTGCTTGAGCCATACCCTCCAGGAGTCGATAGACCATCATTACCTGTCTATCCACTGCTGGATGAAGATCTCAAATTTGTCACCATCTCTGTCCAGTGACAACAATCCACCTAACTCCTGCATGCGTGCTATTTTATCGCTCCATTTAGCCATTCCATTTAATTGGTATAGCCCTGTGAGCCATTCGGCTCTTGAATCGGGTGCAACCGCAACAAACAACTAAAACATGAACAAGAAAACATCTTAAAGTGACTATGTGACTGCAAACAGAAAATCCAGGAAAAAAAACATCAAAATATTCCTGAAATAGCACCGTACACCAATGCTGTGTGCAAAAATCCCAGTGGGATGCAAGTCAAACAACAACAACCACAAGACAACTAATATTAAAGCCATCAGTCTAACTCCGTACTACAATAAACAAAAACATGGCCAAACCAAAAAACTTTTCGAAATCACCAAAATAAAGCCATAAATGCAATGTAACAGTGATCATAGGGACTGTGACCGAATTTTTAACAATAAACTACATAAATAACATGTTAATAAACTACATAAATAATATCTCCACGGTTGATGTGCTCTGGAGCGTGTCGCCACCGTCTTTGGACTAAACTCTCCACCACAACTGAAATGTATATCGCTGGGAATTACCGTACTGTATGTTCTATATTATAAACGTTCACGCTGTTTTTAGTCTTCCTCGTTTAATAAGATGTTGAATGTGTTACATTCAGTATCTATAATTGTAAGTTAGTAAACAAATTCACAAAAAAACATTCACAATATTCAGCACAATATTGACCATATAGTAAAACACTGTAGTCTGCGCTCCTTCAAAGGAGTAATGGCAAAATTACACAAACTCTAAACATTGGCATTTAGCTCATGAACGTTTTGCCATAAGCATGTGTATTGTATTGCTTTGTTGGCCAGGTCTCCCTTAAAAAACAATCTGGGTCTCAACCTGTCACCTGGTTTAAAGCTTTTGTCATGGTAGCGATGACGATGTTGAGGCTGCCCCTTGGAGAGGGGAAACTCGCAGGTACCGCGAGCACAAATAACTTTCCAAACATCAACCTCGCCCTCGGCGTACTTTGGCAGCGCGGCCCCCTCTATCCTCCAAAGCTCTTAGTAAGACCCGCCGAGATCAGGGCGAAGTCATAACGGTGCCCAAAACGGACAGTGACCTGCGTTTGTACTTAATGCTTGGATCGTGATATGCGTTTTAGAGGGACGTTCATGAAGGAGATGGAGCGATGGAATGCTCTTGTGTAGGTGCGAAGTGGATTATTATAACGCAGGATCATGAGAGATGGCAACGGCTTTTTGGGGGCCCTTTTATCCAGCAGTGGATTGATGATGGCTTTGGTCGTAATAACTGGCGATATAGAATTGGTGAGTGGAGCAAGGTACGGTTGTGCTTTTGTTTTCTGTAAAATAGCCAGCAGCACAAGACTGAAGGAGCTCATTTATAATGAATCACCTTTGCCTTATTTTTCAGAGGAGGACTAAATAAACCTTTAGGTTATGTTTGTATGGGCAGTAAGCCATTGAATATTGCCTCTTTGTTCAAGCTTGGTTAAGCACGTGCTTGCACGTCCTTGTTGGGTTAAAAAGATGTAAACGGTGACCTACTAAGGTATAGCTTTATTTGCGTTGTACAGTATTTTTAGATCGTGCCGCATTTCTGCATTCTTAGCTGGTCGCCGTGTCCGGCCAGTTAAATGAGTGGCTAGAAGCCGTTCGCTCGACGCCCAGCAAGAGCACGTGGCTTCGCTTCCTGAATTAACTTGGCATTTCACAAAATGTGCTGGCACAGAAGTGTGTTACATGTGCTGTGTGAGCTGTGGTATAGTGGGCGGCACGCTGCACTATGACCCCAGTTCCATTTCTGGCCATGGCTAATATTAATGGAGAGCGATATCAGAGCAGGTCCTGACCTTTCCCCAATTTTCTAATTCACCAATCAGCACTGACCAAAATAAAACCTTAACTGGCATGGGGGGGGAGGCCTTCGTCCATGGGTAGATTGGGAAAAGCTGTAATGTTTTTTTATATGATCCTTATGGCGGTACCCTGGGGTACCAAATAATACAAAATGGCTGAGGCAATTAAATATTTAATTTCTGGGACACTATTTTTTCCAGGGATGTACTTAACTGCGACTGGGGTACCAATAAAAACTGAAATCAGTGCTACTCCGATGTCAAAAAACAGCGAGGACGATTGCGCTGAAACCCTGAATGCTCATGCACCATAGTGCATCGTGTACAGCTCGTCGAGATGAGTCGATTGCCGCATCGCCGACCATCAACAGACTAAAAATGACTGCATCACGGATATTTTGCGAGAGCCGGGGTACTATGGTACCCAGGGGTACCGCCGTAAGGTTCATATGTCGGTAGTGGTTTTGGCTTTTAATACAATAACTGGCCACCCAGTTGCGGAACTCTTAATCATCAAGGCTGTGGAATATTTACCGCTGGTGGTTCTGTCCATGTGCACCAGGGAGCCCAGTTACTGAATGCATCACTTCAGATATGGAATTGAATCAAAACTATCTGTATAGATCGTGGTGTAAACAAACTCATTCCGTGTTGCTCTCGAGCACCCATGACCAAACATATAAGCAGGAACGCTGTTTTGTGTCTCCACATACAAACATTTGTTGTCCATTCAGCGTCACGGCTATCCTTACGAACATCCAGCAGCATTTGTCCAAGCAAACTCAACTGCCTTTGACTTTCTTGGTCTCATCAGCAGAATCAGGCTCATAGCTTTGGATTGCACGTGGTACAGCCAGAAAATGCATCGGAGAACTGCGCGGTCCAAGCGGGAAAATCTACGCAGGATTGTAGTATGAGCTGGTTGTTGTCAAGCGTCCTCTTAACCGTACTCCGAGCGATCTAAGCGGATCGTGTTGCGCCACGTGGCTCCGTCTCATTCCTGTCCAGCTCGGCGGCCGCCCGACGTCCGTTTGCGTCGCTTTTGTGCGACTCGCAGACGCTGGCTGTCCCTCGGAGGAGGCAGCTGGCCCCATTGTGTCACCCGCCAACTCTGACCTCTCCTGCGACAGTCGCTAGGGGTTAGGGGTTAGCAGCGAAGGATCATGGGAAGGCTGTTAATATTGGCCTGTCCTCCCTGTGGGTTTGGACAATGGGGGCATTATTTTGCACAGTTGGTGCCCTGGGAGGGGTGAGGCCGCGAGGGCGTGGGCTTGTTTGTGCGGGGCGTCTGCGCTCGCTCCCGTGTGCATAAGTGGAGTGGCGGCTGCCTTTTTGAGAGCGAGAAAAACCGACTGCTATTTTATGATCATTGTAAACCTAGTATGATGTAAATTAGCTTTGAGGCAAAACCGTAATGACCGCAATCACTTGTACAATAGTTAATTTCCCTTGGAGTAAAAATAACCCTCTGGTGCATTGAATGATGCGCATTAAATTGAGATGAATTGAAAATGAGTTGCAGATGTGAGTGCGGGAGGTGTGCGCACTCTATGTGATTGTTTGGCTGTCCGTGCGGTGGTGCTGAGGAGGAATGCCTGAGGTCCGCTCCTCTTTAACACGGCACCCTCGTTCCGGCTGCGGTCTTGCGCCAAACCGTCACCCCCAAATCTCACAACAAACCCCGTGTGTGTCTTGCCAGAGAGAGGGAGGAACAGTGGAAAAAAATAGCGGAGGGGGAGTTGATGGAAGAAAAGAAAAAGAGAAAGCAAGAAGAGAAGAAAAAGAAGGAATCCGCATCTAAAAAGGTGAGCTTGCACAAGGCTGTGCCCCGCTGTGCCCGCCTGCCAGTCTGTGTGCCAGCTCATGTGCCCCGTCTCCCACTGTCTCGCATGCTCGTCTGTCTTCATTGCACGTTCAAGTGGCAGTGGTTGTAGGGTGCAGTAGTGATGGTGTGCCGGGGTGTTTGCGCCCACCACTGTTGAGTTGGGGGGGATCTTTATTCTAACCTTGGTTCACAAACTGGTATGCACTTGGGGCTGTAACTGTAGCAAGAGGGGACGTTCATGTGGCGAGCGCAGGCACAGCCCTTCATCCCCAGCCACCTGCCTCTTACCACTCGGTTGACTCACCCACTCCCACTGCCTGCCTGTGTTTTTCTGTCCCTGTTTGACCCACACTTGGTTTCCTTTTGCTGAACTTTAATCACTGCAATTTTACTCTGTCTCTTGCAGATCTCCGAACAAAAATCCAAAGGTAGGATTTTATCCTTTGTTTTTGGGATGAAAGGTGGGGGGGGAGGGGGATGTGTATCTACAGCGTCTCGGTTATGAGTATAATGCAGTCGCAGTAATACTAATCATAATTTACATTCTTTTGTCGGTAGACTGCTCGTTGAAGGCCTCCCCACACCATGTGAATACTGGAGTGTGGTTATGGTTAATGACAATCGGCAACGCTTACATGTTTAGCGCGAGATTGAACCCTCCTTGGTGATGATCGTTGTTCAGATACCCCAGAAGTCAAGTCGTAATATGTACGGTGCGAAACAAGTTATACATACATATACATGCATTTTATATTCTAAAATTCACAAACACATGCACGTGTTCACTGGCCATGTAGAATAACCTTGCATGTAATAAATAATGAAATCTTGACGGTCTACTGACTCGGCATGTGGCTGTAGAAATCAGACTGTTTGTGGACAACGTTTCGCAATAAAATCGTAACAAAAATATTTAAGGGCAAAGTTTCAAACGAAACAATGTATATGAAGTATTTGGCCTGCAGTATGCAAACATCCAGCGATTCCTGAGGAATTGCAGTGTGGTCATATTGTCTTGCAGCAGTGATCGTTGGTGAATACTGTGCTGATGAGTCCCAATAAGAAAAAATGTTCAACAGTTGTGTATCACTGCTGCTTGTCAATCATCAAATTTGCGCAAATCTATTTTTATGGTGACCATAGGCACGAGAACCGCAATGCAGTTCTTCAGAACATGCTGATGTGCATAACACAAAAACCAAAGAGGAAGTGCCCACTCAATCTATTGTTGAATGTGCCAAATCTTGCCAGTACTTAAAAGCTAAGCAGAGTTGGAGTGGTTAATTGTATTTGGATGAGAGACTGCCTGGGAGAAAACACCAGGTGTGGTCGGCTTGGGCTGCTGCTGTGTGGTGGTGGTCTAGAGGTGACAGCACACCAATAAATTCCCAATTGTGTCTGCAGAACTTTGTATGCCTTATACTTTTTCTCTGGGTTTTCTGGTCATGTCTTGCACAAAGCTGAACACTCTTCAGTGGTTTTGGCTAACAGCACAATGTAGCATTACCCTCCTGAAAAACGACCTTGAGACTCGTTGAGACTTTGCTTTTAAAGGTAAATGGCTTATTGTGTTACAGTCCAACATCGTGTATCACACTTGCTGGAGACTGAGGTATTGGTGTATATGTGGAAAGGTCAGATATATTATACATGCATAGCGAGTGATAATACCATGCACAAATAGGTCACTGGACAAATTAAAATGCACACTGTTTTAAACATGGGAAAATTATTTGCACTTTATTACCGTATAAATGTCCAAATGATAAGCCGCTTGTTTGCGCTATCATTGGTGGCCAGGTCTCTTCTGAAAATAAGTTAATGCTTCTGTGGGCTTGGCCTCATAGGATAGGGATGGTTTAGTTTTATATGTTTGAGCGATTTGTTTACCTTTCATGTACTCTGCACTCGTAATGTTTTTGTACTGTTATAACGTTCTTGCCCACCCCTACTGGAAATCTGTGAAAGAGCTTCATAGCTCATCAGATTCCTCCAGTATAAATACATTCTGATTCTGATTTGTGAAGATCTGTGGATAATGACAGTTACACCATGGATAAATATTGCATGGGTGTGAGCGGTTAATTGTTTCAAGGCGGATATGTGACGTTCCACTGAAATTGTAATGATGTTGGTTTGAGCTTTGGTGCTGGTTTGAGGGGAGGCTGCGTTAAGCTGGCTTGGGGAGTGAGTGGAGCAGTGTGGCTTATTTTAGATACCGTGACGTCATGTGCACTGATGTCATTGGGTGTCTCTTGTGAAAATTAATGCTGCCGGCCCGCACGTAGCCCTGCCCTACTTGCCTGGTATCTCTGAGTTCAACGCCTGCTTTTATGGGACTAAATACAGCATTCAGATGTAGGCATGTATGAATATGTAGCTTTGGTTTTGTTATTTGTCTGTTGCAATTGGATCAAAGTACTTGTTTACATCGTGTTGGGGGATGATAGCACCTCTAGTGGCTGCAGGGTTTTCTTTTACCAATCACAGCATTAATTTTAAATCCCTTTGCCAATCCACTGATGGCGGAAAGCTTCCCAATTTCATGCTTATCCCGGGTATTGTTTGACCGTCCTTCATGCTTCTCAGTGTGGATTGGTGAAATGGTTGGGCCCAGGACCAATTCAGATATCACCCGATGTTTATCGTTGTGGGGAATCGAACTCGGGAGGTTTGGGTTTTGTAGCCCGGTGCACGAACCACTGACGAACCGCTCCAATACACAGTATCACGATTTCAATTAATTCCTTGTTTCGTTCGCTCCCTTGTTCACCATGGGACGTCGGTGCCATGCTCTCGGCATTTGGATTGCACACTGGCAGCAGCTCCTGCACACAAAGTGTGCAATTGGTGCAATTTGTTATGCAGATGTGGCGCGTGTGGCGACCACGGCATTACCTGCTGCTTTGTGGCACTGTGCTGTGGGCTGTGCTTTTGTTGCTCGCTACTGGCTTTTTGGCTGGGAGCCCGGTGCTGGGAATGGCTCTCGCCGCATTCCACTCGCAGAATACCGTGCTGCGGTGTGCGAGGTTGTTATGTGATGGGGAGTGGAAGTGTCGTGGTTTGCCCAATGCGCTACGAACCCGGCGGCCAGCATTCGATTCCTGCTTTTGGCCAAAATCTGTGACCAAAATCTCTGACCGAAATCTGAACTGTCTTGAATTTTGACCTTGATATCATCACCATCAGGTCACGCTTTCTAAAACAATTGCTAGGTTTACCAGATGTTATTGGCTAGAGCACATATATGCTGCACATCTCAGTTGTTCACCATTAGTACTGCATTTTCCTGTTCCATTGTTTGTGTAAGCGGCAGTTCATCCGAGCCGCTTGCGGGGGCTGTATTCAGATGAGCGTCACCACTGAGCAAACTGCAGGTAGTTGTATAGTTTTACTGTTGTTTTTGTTGTCATTGCCGTCATCTTGGTTGTTGGGGAGAGGTTAAGTCCGCCCACTCTCTCGGTAACTATCTCCGAGTGGTCTGTGTACAGCTGTTGCTTTATATTTTGTTTGGGTTGGCAGATCACATGCGTTGGGGTAAAGCACACATACTCCAATCTCTTGCAAGAGTCTGGCCGGTGTGGAAGTCGCTTTATATACCCTCCAGAGCAGTGGATCTCAGAGTGGTTCTCGGACCGCGACGGTCCTCTAGATAGTCCGTGGGTTGACACAAATGCAGTTTGATCCGGAGATAATGACAATGTTTCTACCTTTGGTTTCGGACATTAATTAATATTTTACTTAGGATATTGAATAAAAAATACGTTTGGTACTACCATGATTAAACTACCCTAAACCTCAGATCTAAATGCCGCCCCCCCCAAAAAAAGCTTATAGCTGCATTTTGTATATTCTGGTAATATTAATGATTTAGTATTTCTGGTATTCCGAGACAAGCGAATGCGTTTTGCCACCAGAGGTGGGCAGCTGGGTGGTTCTCTGGCCAAAAAAGTTTGACGAACACTGCTTTAGAGGGAACTCTGTAGAGTGATGTGTAGCGGGGAGGACCTTCTGCCACCAGTGGCAAGCAGCTGCAGGGCTGCACCTTTACCTCTTCAACTTTTACCACTCATCTACTGCAAAATATGAAGCTATATCTTTTTTAAACTGGGAGCCTATTTCTCATCTGTCTGAGCCAATGTTTTTATGCATCACCTTAATGACAAACTGTAAATATACATAAGAAATAATGCAATCTGCAGATTCTTTATTTTGAAGCCATTGACACTGTGAACTGTAACTATGGTGAGTCGCGGGCGTGAATCCCCATCGGTCCGTGCTGTTAACTGCCTGCCCCAATTCAAATTCAGGCTCAACATTTTGGTTTTAGCCTCTGCCCATTATTGTGTTGCGTCACTGTCCAAAAAATATGCCCACTGTTTCTGCGCAACATTTTGAGATGTGCTTTCACATTTAGACACTGCAAGTCCCAGTTGCCCTCTTAAGTGTATCATTGTATCACCTTTGTTAAGCGTTGTAAAGATAAACGACGACAACAACAAAAGCAACCTTTTACATTGGCACATTTCCAAAATTTGGTTGTAAGTCGTGCACGCCCATGTGAAAGTGCATACCATGTGTTTGCATACACTGTCGATGGCCACGATAGTGGATCGATGAACATGCCCGGAGGTTTTAATACAAAAACAACTCGGGCTTCTACGTTTATTGTGTTTGCTAAATATTGAAACAGAATTTAGCACAAATTACTGTTTCATAACGGGCTATTGATTAACCTTCCTCATGATAACACAACTCATAACATATCCCGTTTTGTGCGTTTTCATGTTTTTCGTTGTCTTGCGTAATGCTACCCAACGTAACTTTACGCTTGCCTTGTTTAAACATCGCTCGGCCTCCGCCGGGCAACGCTAATTGCGGCGCACCTGGCTTGCTCACGGCTAGTCCCTTTGTTTATGGGCGTGCACTAAATTGACGTGCACCACCACCAACACCTGTTTGGAGGGTGGGGGGGCTCTCCAGTGTATGGAGGGCCTCCGGAGAGAGAGGAGGGGGGGGGCTTTTCAACCTTTTTTCGTGTGTCTTGGAAGAAGTGCGAGTACTCTTGTGTAACCGCACCACATGCGACCTGCCGACCAACGAACTTGGGTGGACAAATACTGCTGGGTGGACAAAGACTCGGGAATTGTAAGAAGATGTTTTCAACTGCTGCGGCAAAAGATTGATTCGAACCTAGGACCTCTGGATTTCACTGAGCTAGTCATTACACCAGGGCAGCATCCCTTGCATAGCGGAAACTTTAAAAAATATGAAACTTAAGATGAGGGCTATGTTCCTCAACTCTCTCCCGCAGTGATTTTTTTCCCCCGGGGGTGGGGGGGGGTCCGGAAAAGGGAGTAGGAATGGAGAGGCAAGGCAGCTGGGCTGGAAATGGAGGCAGGGACTCCACCTCTGCTAACGTCACCGA